TCTTAAAATGATGTCAAAAGCACAAAAGAGACTCTCTCTGGCTGGTAAAGAGAAGCACTCACGCGTGGTAATTATTCAGTACCTTCTGCCAAATGTCACCTGAGCTTCTTTCACTCCTGCAGGTGCTAAACCCAGGGTATTAATTTAAATCAGTCAGGAGGTAAGGCAGAGCCTGACACTGGAGCATGCTAACTCAGCAGCCAGCTATAAAATTAACAGGGGTACTTACTGGACACCTGCCACCTTTCTTTAAACAATCATATTTCAAGAATGGTTCCAAGGGAGATGTTAACGCAGTTAGAACCTCATGTCAGTTGGATCTTCCCATAAAAAAAATCAGAGCCCCTGCCAGCCTGATGTGTTTCACTGAAGTTTCAGGGCTTCCAAGTGGAAAGAAACAAACAAAAGACCAGAAAAACCTCAAAGTAAGCAATATGCCTCTCAGCCCACCAGATAAACTAACAGTTCTTGGTCTACAGGGGCTAGGAGTGGCAATTAATCATGCAACTGCACTTTATTAAAAAGCTTACATTTCAACTCTGGATTTCTTCAAGGAAAAAAAAAAAAACAGAGATATGATCTGATTTGCTTCTATTGGGTGGAGAGGGGGAGAAACAACATCTAGAAGACTCTAATGACCTATGATCATGATCCTGTTGTCCAGGAGAGTCAAGCAATCCTGGCTCTAAGCGTCTGTACTTCTAAAAGAATAGGAGGTTCCAGGAACTAAGAAAATTCGTACATTAGCACACATCCAAATGGTTTTAGGGCGCTCTGGTGATGTAAGAACGCTTTCTCTTCCCTAGCTCCGTAGAAGTTAGTGAAGAACTAGGCTCACCTAGTGGAATATGACATTTAGCCTTCCTAGATATCTGCAGGGTTTGAAGTAAGAAGACCGGAGTGTGACTCCTGAATCCACCACTTACTAGTCTAATGTCTCTGGACCAGTCATCCAGGTTTCCAAGTTTCCTTTTAAGATGAGAATGATAATATTCCCTACTTTATATGAGCAGCGAATGACTTAAATGAGACTGTGCATGCAAAATGCTTAGTATAGTGACCTTCATGTAGTAACAGCTCCATAAATATCAGTGATTATTTTCAGTGGCTGGCATGCCTGCTGGAACAGAGTTTTGCAACTGGCTAATTGGACCAGATACCTATTTGTCGTGGGAGGTGGTTCTGTGTAGTGTATGTTTAGCAGTATCTCTGGCCCCTCTACCCACTAGACGCCAATGGCATCCCTGTCCAATTGTGACAATCAAAAATGGCTCCAGACATTGCCAAATGTTCCCTGGGACAAACACATCCCTGGTTGAGAACCACTGTTCTGTATCTCTGCACCATTATGAGTGATACGACTAATTACAGTCCAATAGCTGCTTCGCCCTATTTGCTTTGAGCAATTATTAAATGCTGTATTGGACACATTCTGTTAGATTTTCTTTCGTTTTAAACCTTACATCCATCCCTCTTCGATGGCATTGGTACCCTCTTCCTGCTTTGGGAGAACCACCCCACTGTATTTGTACCCTGTGTGCTTTGTGTAAAGTCCCCAGTATAGTACTTGACCCCTAGCGAATGTGATGGTCAATATATGGTAGGAATTTCTCTCTCTTCTATTGGCTGACGGTGTGAGAAGATCCCAAAGCTCTTGGAAGCCACCGTGCAGAGCCAGAGCAAAGCTCTCCTAGAAGAAACAGGACTGAGAGATGAAATCTATGGTCATTTAGACTCTGAATCAAGTCGAGCCTGATGCCATCTCTACCTCCTTGACCCTCAGTTATGTGAGCCAATGAATTTCTTTCCTGTTGTGTCGGTTTGGTTGGTATGACTGTCTACTACATGCCAGGCATTATGGCAGGTTTTTATGTAGGTCCTTCTTTAATATTCATGGCAATCTTCTGAGGTACATAGTGTATTGTACCCATTTTACAGGTGGCCAATGGAGCTTAGAGAGTTAGGTCATTCCCTCAAGGTCCAAAGCCAGTATGGGGTAGAGCTGCAATCTCATTTCATTTCCTCCACAATGCCCACCCAGTTTATTACACATGCCCCGGTGTCAGTCTTGGTGGGGTAGAGTGGGCCCACTGAGCAGGAATAACACTCAGTCTCAATTCTAAACAGAGGCTGAGAGTGAGCAGAACTTTGTCCAAAGTTTTTGGGGGAGATTCCTTGTGTTCTGGAGGGCAATATTGCAAAATCTTTGCAGATGCATGTTGGATGCATGAAAACTATTTGCCTAACTCCTCTTCATTTATTGACATGAGATAGGGAGAAAATTCTATTAGTTAAAATGAAACTGCTTTGTTTTGAACACATTCAAAAATAGCCAAGGAAAAAATTATCTTCACTAATAAAGCAAGGCAGATATGAAACCTTCATGCTTGGGGGAACAGAAATGATCTTATTATCCTGAGCATCTTGATGGTAACTATAAAAATTCATCTTTATTTGAGTTTCAGGCAAAATGTAAAGTAGTAATATTACCTTGTGTTTAACACTGTCTGTATCCTGCAAACTCAAGTCCTACTCCAAAAGTAATCATAATAAAATATCAAAGACACTACTAAGGGGAAGCTCAGCACCCTTTCAGATCATCTGCGTGCATCATCACTGCTGTTATCCACAACAATCCTGCAAGGAAGTTATGACTTGGATAAACTTACAAGGGAAGTTAAAACCTTTGTTCAAAGTCAACCGCTAATAAAGAACAGACATTAAAAACTAAGGCCCCTCTGACTCCTGAATCAGTGCTTCTTCCACCCCACCGTGCTGTCTGAGAAATGAACAAGATCTTAAGAGCACCATCCCGACACTTTCCCTTCTGAGGACTCACTCTCCAGTTAGCACCAGCCCCACAAACTTGACCACTGAATAAGAATGGGATTCAGAAGTAAAGTGTTCTAAGTCCCTACAATATTTGAGACACAACACTGTGGGGTGTGGGTTGGAGGTACTGTACTCATCTAACAGCTGGAGATCTTGGACAAAGTACCCTAAAGGTCAGACCATACAAAGTACAAAGTCATGGAACAAAATGCTTTCATTTTCCGAATCAGCACCTTATGGCTTTTGGTCAAAGGAATATTTTTGAAATTTATGTCTCCAATATATCCATAATTTTCATCCATTTTTTTTTTACCTGAGCTCCTGTAGTATCTCCCCATATGTACATCTGCCACCTCTATTCCATTGTCCATACACACACAAACACACACACACACACACACACACACACACCTGCTTAAAAATCTCTATGGTTTCCTATCACACTTAGGAGGAATATCAGTCTTTAAAATAATCTCCTAGATCCTTAGCAGTCTACTAGACTAATATGAATAAATTAAACTTTTGCAAGATGTGAGTAACATTAAAACCTGAAAGATAATGTCAAAAAAAGTTTAATATTAGTCATGAGATACTAGAAAAGTTTACTAAGGTTTTAACTTTCAGAAATTATGATGGAAAGACATATTCTTCCTACTACTATTCCTATAAATCCAAGGAATAATTTAAAAATTTTAATGTTTGAATAAGGGCTACCCAAGATAGGCCCCAAATATCCTGATCAATGCAGAATTCTATTGTGCGTCGATACAAAACAGAAGTGGGAGATGATATGAGGCATATAATCAATAGAAAAGTCTACTTTTATCATAAAACATTTTTCATACATAGATTTCACTGGTAATGATTAATACATAAATAATTTCTGAGACCCAAACAGGGAAATATACCCACTTTCCCAAACAAATTCTGATCTTTCTACAGAGATGTTCCCATAAGGATAATAAACAAGTAATTCTGACAAAAGAACATTGCTCTGAAGATATATTTTTTTTTAAGTTTTATTTTCTAACATGAGGACTTTTGCCGTCTCTGGGAGATTCACAGACTCATTTATAACATTTCAATTTCCAGGTACTTAAAAATAAAACAGAATGGGAAAGAGCTGTTTGGGAAAGAAAGCTTAAAAACTTTTGAGGATAGTTATAGGAGAATCAAATGGATCATATTTCTGAAAAGCAAAGCTTAAATAGTTGGGCTTTGCTTATCACAGAATGAGCACACTAAGTTGAGTATAGCATTATTGTTATATATTCACACAAATTAGGGTCTTACATGTTTGGAACTCCTGTTTTTACTCTCCTTATATCAAGTATTGTATCCCTGTCGGGAAGAAACCATCCACTTTTACAAACAAACAAAAGATTTTTCAAAGTCACAAGCTGACTGCTTTCAACTTTAATGTAAATGTCAGGCCATGTTACAGAAGGACTTGTATTTCTTAAAATTTAGTCATTTAAATTCTAAAATACAAAATTAATCTGCGGCATTTGAAAAAAAAAGAGCCCAAATTCTGAGGGAGGAGGGTGGGTGAGGGGGAGAAAAGTGAGATCCTGATTAGATGAATCTCTTTGTAGCTAACGATCAACCCAAATATTATTGGCACCCTCTTCCCTTTCCAAAATTGACTTCTGAAAGGAAAAAGGGCAAGCCCTAGAAGGGCTTATTGGGTATTGATTGCAATAAGCCAGTTCTAGAATCAACCTCCTGGTGTTAGCGCTATTCATTACACCGTGGATGGAACTCAATCAATGGCACCTTCAGAAATGCATGGCCCCTCATACTGATAATCTACCATAGTAAGCCAACAAGGAAACATAAACAGAATAACAATATGGATGTTTTCCAAACCCAAGAAGCTGGCCTGTGTTCAGCATGACCCAGGAAATGGTACATTTTCAGCCTTTTTACCTAATTCAACTTCAGTTTGTGGTACGGAATCAAACCGTGCAATGAAAATTCATGTCACATTCATGAAACATTAGAATCCCGCAGGGGAAATAAAGCCATATTGAATAGATGACTCCTTTATAATATGCCTAGCACTGTAGGGTCATAGCTCTCCACGGTTGCAGAAGCATGCTTCAGGGTGGATCTGATATGCAACCCTGGGGAAAGACAAAAAAGTAGAAGAACAGTCTTGAAACTCACCTCCCTGCCTCAAAAGTGAACCAAGCAGCATCTCGCCCATACCGCCGCAGGGCGCTTAGCGGCCAAGAGATGAGTTTGACTCTGGGATTCTGGACGTCCCAAAGACAGATGTGCTCATATGTAATCTGCAAGGCACATTCGCCATGTACATCTAAGTTAGGGGATGGCATCAAATACACATTGAATCTCTCTGGGAGAAAAACAAAAGGTTAGTCTAAAATCCCGGGAATAAAACATCAAAGACATTGTAGGAACAAAGAGGCATTTCAAAAATAATTCTAGCCCATATTCTAGGTTTAGGTTGAACATTCAGGAAGATAAACCTTTCTCATAAATTCATAGTCCCAGAAAATGATTTTTTAAATGAAGACCATGTTAAGTAACATAATAATGTCACAGTCTGGCTGTCAACATACACTAAACACTATTTACATGAGCAAAGACCATTTTTAGAATTTTTGAATTTGCATAATAAAAAAAATTTGTATGCCAATAAAAGACTAAAGCAATGAAACCATTAAAAACAATTTTTTTCCTGCCAAGTACGTATTAATTACACCCACATTTTTGTGTTCACAAAAGATGCAGGTGCAAAATAATTGTCACATGATTTAATGATATTAAAGTTATACTGATCAACTCATAATTTTCATAACTAAATGAATAAAACTACATCCCAAATTATTTAAATAAAACCCCACGCTAATACCATGCACTTAACTGACCACCAGTTTGGGAAAAATCCAGTGGATGTATTTGAATTAGTTTTAACAAGAACTCTCTTTAGCCAATTACAAATATCCATTTGCTTATTTGGATGATTGTTAATATTTAACCAAGATTACTCTCAGTAAATGACTTGGCTTATTACTGCAACCAAATTTTTATCCCCACAGACTCCATCACGGTATTTCTGTTATATTTCTAGAAAATTCATTAATTTAGGAAATTATGAGTCAAAACCTCTAAGCGAAACATGAGCAAAAATATTACTACACCAAACACATTTTCACCTATCCCTCATTATGGTAGATCGCCCATTATCTGACAAAACAGTGTGGCACTGATCTTACCAGTGGTATTCTAAATTAATTATTTTATAATAAGGAAGTCATTAGAATTCTTATTGATTTTAGCTGAGTTGAGTAAATGGGGGTGTCATGACTGCATGATTTCATGGATCTATTTTTCCATATTTTCTAAAGTTATTTCAAACTCCCAATAACTAATTATTTGCTACTTTCTAGCAACTATTATTTTAAAAGTATATTCTAATGGAGTAAAATCTCTCCCAGGGTAGTTCTAGAATAAGTCAGAAAGACTGTCATCATTAAGTAAAAAGCAAGAGAGACCATTACCAATTCATTCACTTAAAAGTTCTTCTATAACTCTACTTCACTCAAGGATAACAACAGTAACAGTGGTAAGAGTGACTGCTTAAGTTACAATTACTTGAAGTCATGCAAATTAATATCGTAAAGTGCCTTCAAAGACATAGGTGAGCTTTGTAATAATCCTTCCTAGTTATGTACCAGGGATATTCTTATTCCTATTTGACAGAAGAGGAAACTGAGGCACAGTTGGCCCGGTAAAGGGAACACCTAGGCACAGCCCGTTCTTGGATTCATTTGCAGCATGATTGGGATATTGCTTCATAAATATAAATTTGTGAAAACCAGGTGCTGATATGAGCACTCTAGATTTTAAAAAAATCAAAATCTATCATATTTTCCTCTTTATGTCTGGCTTCATATGCATCTGTCCATGAGGCACCACAGGTGCATCCTCTTTGCCCGGAGCATCCTGATTCAGTGAACTACACAAGTTAGAGCCCAGGGCTTGGTTGTATGACCTTGGAAAATGGCTTGGCTTCTCTACAGCTCAGTTTCCCAGTCTACAAAGAGACTTTTTTTGAATTAGCCAAGCACTTGTAAGTCTCAGTCAATAACATTTCCATGGAGATGGGTTATGGCAGATATGGTGCACCCAAAATAGTCCCAGCCTGTAAAGGTGTCATGAAGACAGAGTTCCAAGTGAAAGCAAGGGCATTTTTTATTAACAATTGGAGTGTGCACCCATGGAAAGGGTCAGTACATTCCACCTCTGCCACGCTCATTATCAAGCCAGTGGACCAGTGGCCTTTTCTGGTGCGTTCCATCCTCACAGATCAAGTCAATGGGCTACAAAAGAGCAGGACTCTGGGATCCAATCTGCCCTGTCACAAGGCTTGGTTACTTGGAAACGAAGAAATAATTCCTCACCTCCAGGCTCATACTGTAAACCAATACTGAGTTTTGCTGAAATGTTCATGGGTATTTTGGTCATTATTACCTAAAATGATTTAGTTCCATGTTGAGTGTTGAGCTCAAGGCATTGGCTCAAGTGTTTAGTTAAAAAAAAAAAAAAAAAAAAAAGCACAGAATTAGGTAGGTTGAAACCTGAGAAAACAGTCATGAAGTTTGGATTCTATTAAAAACACTGGAAAGCTTTCAATGAAATACTTCTAATGAAAAACTTAAGACAAAAAAAAAAAAAAACAAAACACAACCCATTATGTGGTAAAATCAGTATATTATGAATACAGGTAACATAAGCTGTTGGAATTAGAGCAAGAAGTGTAGCTCTTCTGAACGTCAGTCTCCTCATCTGTAAAAGGAGGGAAGGTATGGTGTCTGCTTCATGGAGCTGCCAGGAAAATTAAATGACCTAATGCACCTGCCACAGGAACTGGCACATGGCAGGTTTCCTCAGATTCCTAGCTGACGGTATTCATACAGATACATTCATATTTGTGCATTGAAAACACATTAAGAAAAGAAACACATTGAAATAGTAACATAGGATCTGGGTCAACTAAAAGGTTCTTTTTACTTCCTTATAAATTTTTGTAACTTCAGAAATGTCACATAATGAAGATGTCTTATGGTGGGACAAAAACAGTGTTCAAGAGAGCAAAGGAGAGAATTTTCTTTACATACCACTCTGTTCTCTCTCAACCCCAGTAGCCAATAAGTCAGGCTCTCCGAGGCTGATGTCATTGATCCGTGTGCCCACACACTCCATCTGGAGTACTTTGCACCATTCATCGGCCTCAAGATCTGTGGAAATGTCCAAAAGATTAACATGCATGCCCAGCGCCTGCTTAAAAGCTAAAAGCAAAAGCCCTCCCTGCCTTGGACGAACCTGATTCACAAGCAAAGGTCTTGGAGGTATCATCATTGAAATAAATCCCTATGGCATGTTTCTTGGTGCTCTTTGGCAACCGAGCTACGTTCTTCACGTTGTTGAGCTCTGTAACCTGAAAAATGAACAATTGCAAATCTGATCACACTCCCTGAACGAACACGCCCAGTCAACACCACCACACTAAGGGAAGGCACAGTAAGTGGAAGGCACACCACACATGAACACCACTTGACCGAAAAGTGCATTTTTGAAAGCTGCAAATTATTTCTGTGTTATCCTTAATACATAGCAAGGAATGCCAGTGAATTACCTTCCTTTTTATATTTTCTGAAGCATATTAGGTGGCATGAACTCAAAACTTCACAGAGATAGAAAGCTCGTTTTGGTGTTTTTATCTCCCAGAAGATTCTCCCCAGTGAATAGTTCTCAGAACTATATCCCCATCTCCGTGGAAAGCCTTTCAAATACTCTAACCCCTCAGGGTACTCCCAGTGAAGGTAACTTACACCCATCCACCCCGAGAAAGGAAGGGAATGGTGACCATCAATTCATAACTGTGTCATCTCACTCTTCAATAATCAGGAATGGAGTGTCAGAAGTCCCCAAAATGCCCCTCTACTCGGGGTTCAAGTCCTATATTCCAAGACACACAGTGGCTTTGTCCCATGCTTCCCCACTCTCTGGCTTACTCCCAGCTTCTCAGTGGTTTACAGGGCCTCTGTTTTAGAGTCTGCATGGCATCACCTTTTTCTTCCCAATAGGGAAAGCTTTCCCCATTAGACATGCTCTCTTTCCTTCCTCTAACCCACAGTCACTTGGTCCCTGTTATAAACTTCCATAACGTTAACACTTTTATAAACTACTCCCCTCCCGCTAAGGGTATTGGCTTACGGTATTTCCAAAATGGCTGTCCCTCCTCCAGTTACACCCAGATCCCCTGCTGCATTCAAGGGTTGTGATGACTGGTTGCGTGAGAGAAGGCACTGGTGACCTCAGGGTATTTACAAGACAAATAATGCACATTAACAAATTTAACCTCCCCTTAGTATATCTCTTTTGTGTTATTTAAAGGAATATATCTCCCATCAGTCTTTGCCTTTAGCACTATCTCTCATCTTATTCTAGATTTAAGGAATGCCTGGTTCAAGAAATAGGGGAGGAGAGAAGTCAATATCCTCCACACATACCCTAACCTGATTATTTCATTCCCCAACTTCTTAACCTCCATTGGCTCTCTTTCTGGTATAAATGCAAATTTCTTGGCATAAAATATCTTAACAGTTGTTACTGACCAAATGTTTGTGGCTCCCCAAATATATATGTTGAAATCCTACCCTTCAAGGTGATGGTATTAAGAGATGGGACTTTTGGAGGGTGATAGGTCTTGAGGGTGGAGCCCTACTGAACAGGATTAGTGTCCTTATAAAAGAGACCCCAGCACACTACCTCCTGCCTTCACCACGGGAGGACACAGCAAGAAGATGCCTCCTATGAACCAGAAAGCAAGTTCTCACCAGACACAAAATCTGCTGGTGCCTTGACCTTGGACTTCCCAGACTCTAGAACTATGAGAATTACATTTCTGTGGTTTAAAAGCTACCCAGTATACGGTATTTTTTTATGGCAGTCCAAGTGGACTAAGACATCAGTGTCCCCCCAAAGCTGGCTAAAGCACTACCTACCTTAGTAGGTAACTTTAGTAGCTTGACACCACCGACTTTATTCTCTAGCTACTCCAAATCCCTCAGAGTTTACCAGATGCAACTGTTGATTTTTTGAAGATTTTATTTATGTATTTATTTATTTTAGAGAGAAGGAGACTGCAAGAAGAGGAAGGGGCAGAGGGAGAAAAAGAATCTCAAGCAGACTCTGCGCTAAGCACAGAGCCTGACATGCGGCTCAATCTCAAGACCCTGAGATTATGACCTGCGCTGAAATCAAGAGTCAGATGCTTAACTGACTGAGCCATCCAGGCACCCTGCAACTGTTTATTTTTTGTCTATGTATTTTTGTGCCAATATCCCAATCCAACTATTTATTGGTCTCTCCACTTCCATGTAACCTCATTAATTCACTGTAAACACAGCATCCAGAAGATATTTTCAAACATAAGTCTGATACCAGCATTTCTGTGCATAAAACAGAACACTGCAGTGACTTCTCATTGCACTTGGGACAAGCAGCCAAGCCCTTAGGATGACCATCAAGGCCCTCTGTAGTCTTCCTTAAGCTATCTTACCAGCCTCCTCTCTTACACCTTCCACATGAGTCATAAGTTCCAGCCACACTGGCTTTTGTTCAGGCCCCAGAAGGCACCATGATTCTCCTGGCACAGAGCCTTCCCTACACTCTCCTTACTTCGCTTACACCCACCTTATGGGTCTTAGTTCAAATTGCAGTTACCTGCAGAGCCCTACTGGACACCCCCTATCCCTCCATCTAATCAGAGTCTCCAGGCTCTATCTTCTAATGACATCTTTGCCCTCACGCCCTCTGATGGCCATATAGGCCATGGTTTAGTGCCTGTCTTGCCTCTAGAATGAAAATTCCCTAGGTTTTTGCTCACCACTGTGTCCCCTGAATCTAATACAGAGCCTGCCACATAGTGGGAACTCAATGAATATATGTGAATTGATGAACAAAAGACCAAACACACCCACAAATTTACTTGCACAGGGCCTCTCCAAGGTGAATGCCTCTTTCTCCAGGGAAATTTCACTTTTCCTGCAAGGCCCACTTCCTTGGGGATACTTGCCCTGACCTCCGTGTGAAGTACTCGTTGCCTTCTCTCTGTTCCCATGTATGCTGTATGAAGCTTTGTTCTATTATCTGTGATTATAATCAATCCATCGATCTCTCCAGCACCCAGCTAGACGTGAGTCACCTATCAATGACTGATGGACCGAATCAATGACAATCATCTGAGAGCCAACATTTATTGAGCCTGCTCCATATACCACATGCTGTGCTTAGACTAGTCTTACATAATGTGTCTCATTTGATCTTCATAAACACCCTGCAACACAGATATTACTATCAGTTATTTTCCAGCTGAAGTAGCTGTAGATGAGAAAGGTCAAAGTCATGCACTCAAGGTCACAGCAAAAAAATGGCAGAACCAAGTTCTGAGTGAGGCAAACTGACCCCAATGCCTGTGCTCTTCACCCATCTAAAATACTAAGGACTGACTCTAAGTCCTTTCAGCCCATAGAATCTTCAGCCTGGAAAGTCATCACATATTTGAGGACTTCTTTGTTTTCGCTGGTGTAGAGGAGGGGCGGGGGATTGAGGGGGGCAGGTGAAGTAGGGCGTGAGTGCCCCAGGCTTTATTCTGACCCTCTACTGAGACATTATATAAAAGTAGTCCACCCTAACCTGAAGCACAGCAATGACTTTGAAATATGTCATTTCATTACACATCCATTAAAGGTAAAGAGGAAGGAACGTCACCTGAAAGGGTCAGAAAATGTAGGGTGAATTGCATGAGTCAGAACACAATTACCCATTTGGGAAATTGGTTTAGAGAATAAGCAACCCAACACCCCCGGCTCGGAGAAGGTGAGTGTTCACAGAGCAGGCAGGATTATGTTTGATGTGTCAAAGGGCTAGCAGGTTCTAACGCAGTTTCTGCCCCCAGTTCAGAACCACATCTCAATGAGCTCATGCTTGCCCACATCCCCACCCCCCACCACCCACATACACACTCCTTACTTTCAAAAGAATTGCAATCTATGCTAATCCATAGTAGAGCCTTCCTCAAAATACATGCTAGAGTGAAAATTATGAGAATATTTGCAGGTATATTTATAAGTCACTTTAAAACCTGTGTAAGGCAGATTTATTTCCACCATTGCTCCATTTTGTAAATGAGAAAACCAAAAGCAGAATATATTTTTTTAATATTCCTTTTTTTTTTAAGATTTTATTTACTTGTCAGAAAGAGAGAGAAGAGAGCACAAGGGGGAGCAGCAGACAGAGGGAGAAGCAGGCTCCCCGCTGAGCAGGGAGCCCAATGCTGGACTTCATTCCAGGACCCTGGGATCATGACCTGAGCTGAACGCAGATGCCTAACTGACTGAGCCACCCAGACATCCTTTCAACATTCCTTTTCACAAAGACATAATTTGCCCCTAAAGAGTCACTTTTGAAGCATAGATTTTGATAAGGTCTCAGGTTCATGTGTAATATGAATGTTATTTTAAATGGGGGCTAATAAGTGTATCTGATCATCAAAGGTGACTGCATCAGGGGCACGTGAGTGGCTCAGTTGGTTAAGCATCTGCCTTCGGCTCAGGTCATGATCCCAGGGTCCTGGGATCGAGGCCCGCATTAGGCTCCCTGCTCAGCGGGAAGCCTGTTTCTCCCTCTCCCACTCCTCCTGCTTGTGTTCCCTATCTTGCTGTGTCTCTCTCTGTCTAATTAATTAATTAATTAATTAAATTTTTTTAAAAAGTGACTGCTTTGGATCCTCAATACGACCTCAAAGAAGATGAGCTTTCAGGACCACGGGCAGGCAATACCTTCAGGTCACCTTCAGTTTGAATTTCTTGTCTTTTCCTTAGGTCTCAGATCCGAAGTTATTTCCCACCAAGTTCAAAACTTTTTAAGAAAACTCCCTCCTGAGCCTCTGTAGTCAGAGATTTTATTTTTCTTTCACAGTGTAAGAGAAAAGCTACACCCTAAACTCTACATGAATTATACCATCTTTGTGTAGAGATTCACAAATAAAATGTAAAAATTTCTTCAAGGTGTTAACAGCATCAGGAGGGAGTGACTTAAACACAATTATAGGAGAGCCACATTTCCTCTTCAAGAATCTTCCTGGAATCCATTCACTCATCAAATTTTTTAAACTCATTGTTTATTCATATTTATTTATTTTTTGTTTATTCTTATTTAAAGGGAGGAAATAAGCAAAGAACCATTTTACCAGGCAGGGATAAGGAAGTGCTATGAGGACAAACAAAGGTGTGAAAAAGGATTTCAGGGGGCTCAGGAGATTCTGCTATTTTACATAAGGGGGTAAGGATGCCCTTTCAGAGAAGGGATCATTTGAGCAGAGACAAAAAGATCTAAAAAAGTGAATCATATGAATAGCTGGGCCCAGCCACT